TTTTTGTAATTATCAAATTGTGAGCAATTTTCTTGATGAAATGGGATACGTCAACAATTAACAAGGTTAGATTACCTTCCATATTTTGCCACCTGTCTCATTATCTCAAAACCCATGCCTATAACTAAAACATTCTCCTATATTTTAGCCAAAACAAACCTAATTTAACTAAATAAGGTAATTAAACGATAAAATCTTATCTTTTTAACTCATTTAATCTAATATGGTAGCTGATTTGTCATAAACCTAGAATTACATATCTGACATGGCAAATTCTCCTCCATCCATCTAAAAATATTTGACATGTGGCATGATCTTAAATTTTTGTAATTTATGGTGTAAACAAATACAAAGAAAAGAATTGCTTTCAATTAAAATTTTAGTTTGTTTGAATAGAAAATAAGGCCATTAGCTTTTGAATTTCTTTTATGCTCTGTTTGGGTACATGAATTTGATAGGGGTGTATTTGAATTTGAACATTTCAAATTCAATATTATTATTTGTTTTTCCTTAAATAAAATGTAATTAAATTTAAATGAAATGCATATATTTTACTGTGTATTTGCAAGAGAAAAATTCGTGTATTTCAAATTCATTCTTCAACCCATTAATTTCAATTTTAAAGTGAATTTACTCTGCGCTTTCTACAAACGCAAACGGCGATGAAGCCTCTATCGTCACTTCTGTTCACCATCAACTTTGCCGTTTCTCTCTCACTTTGTCTGAGGAAAGGCTCTGGATAATCTTCTCCATATCTTCCAGGCGATTTGCTTGGAAAGGGAATTACATCAGAAGACCTAGAAATTACATCAGAAAAAGCGGCATTTTCAAAACCCACTTCTCGATTCTGCGCAACGTTACAATCAGGATGAAGAACAGAGCGCTTGAACTTCTTCTTAGGACTGGTTTCCATGGTTTCCTGCCCGTCTTTTGGAGAAGAAACCCCAAAACCCACCTGCTTAGTGTCAGCCCCGAGCAATGGCTCACCAAAATTCTCAACCAGGAACAGAACCCTTTTCACACAAAGAATCAACCATTTCTAGATTCCCCACAGCAACGGCACCAACATCGACGCTAGAATCAAAACCCATTTCTTGATTCTCCTCGCCGTTGCAATAACGTTGAAGAACAGAGCACTTGACCTTCCTCTTGGGACTGGTTTCCATGGAGACCTTTTGCGAAGAAACAATTTAAAAAGCTCCGTTGTACATCACAGGATGCTATTGCAATTGAGAAGCGGAGGAAGTGACGGTTTCTTGAGGTGAAGAGGAACACATTATCATGAGGAAAAATTGGTGACTTGGGCACTGCGCACAAGCTGCTCGACGAATGCGTGAGTGTGGTGTGGTGCCCAATTCACTCACTTATAGCGTGTTGATTCGCTGGGTGTTTAGAAGGCGAGATGTTGAATATGGGAGGGAGTTGATGCGCAAGCTTTGGGAGAGAATGAAGGACGAAAATGATCCCAGTTTGAACACTGCGGCCTTTGCCAATCTCATTGATTCTTTGTGTAGAGAGGGGTTCTTCAATGAAGTTTTCAGGATTGCAGAGGAAACACCTCAAGGAATGAGTGTGAA